TCATCTTCACCCCACAGAACTAGACTGGACCGTCATCTTCACCCCACAGAACTAGACTGGACCGTCATCTTCACCCCACAGAACCAGACTGGACCGTCATCTTCACCCCACAGAACTATACTGGACTGTCATCTTCACCCCCACAGAACTAGACTGGACCGTCATCTTCACCCCCACAGAACTAGACTGGACCGTCATCTTCACCCCACAGAACTAGCACAGGCTGGCCAATACAAGCCTCCGTGACTACCTATGGACCGGGCACCCTCGACCAAAAGCGAAAAGCTTTTTGTATTAAGTTACTTAGAGAACTTCAAATGGAACGACTTGAAAGGAAGAAGAGGACTTGAAGTGACACACAGTATAATAAAGGAGAAACATTAAAACTGAAGTATAACCATATATAAGGTCTGCACAGCATAAAACAGGGAAGGTGAGCACAATGCTCTTGCTTAGGGAGCTCTTAGGTTCTTTTGTCATTTACAAGTCCATATACAAAAGAGAAAATAAAAGGTGAGTAGTCTAAGTAAAATATAAGAGAAATACTCACTTTAATGCAAATGCTAAGAAGGCTGAAGACTGAACTGGGTCTTCTTAGTGATGCTAAAAAGCATACAATTATTTTCAAGATTTTATTATGAAAAAAAGCAGAGTTGCTTATGTGTGAAAATAGAATAAAACAGTGAACCCCATGCCTATACAACCCAACTACAATAATGATCATTTTACAGGGGTTGGCAGATTATAGCCTGTCTCGGTCACTGTTCTATTGCCATGAAAGTATTTAACTTGGGCTGGCCTACAGTTCAGAGATTTAGACCATTATTGACACAGGAGGAAGCATGGCGGCACACAGGCAGACATGGTGCTGGAAAAGAAGCCAAAAGTTTTACATCTGGATCCACTGGCAGCAGGAAGGGAGGCAGACACTTGGCCTGCCTTGAGCATTTGGAACCTCAAACCCCACCCCCAGTGACACACTGCCTCAAACAAGACCACAACTACTCCAATGCCACATGTCCTGATTCTTTCGAATAGCACCACTTCCTATCAGTCTATGGGGGCCATTTTTATTCAAACCACCACATTCCACTCCCTGGCCCCCAGAGACTTGTAACAATATCATAATTCAAAATGCATTTAGTCCAACTTCAAAAGTCCCCATAGTCTCAGCAGTGTTTGAAAGTCCAAAGTTCAAAGTCTCTTTGGAGATTCATGGTAAGAAGCTGTTATACCCTGTGAAATAAAAATAAAAAAACAGATCCCATACTTCCAACATATAACTGTATAGGTGATACATTACAAAACATAGGGAAGGGGGCACAGTGAGGAAATACTGGACCAAAGCTTGATAGAAAACCAGCTGAGAAACTCAAACTCTGCATCTCCATGTCTGATGTCAAAATGTTCTTCAGATCTCCAACTCCTTTCTGCTTTGTCTTGAGCTGGTTCCACTCCCTGTCAGCAGCTCTCCTCGGCAGCTATCCGATGACTCTGGCATCTCCAACATCTTGGGCTTTCCAAGGTAGATCAGGCTTCACCTCACAGCTTCACACAAGGACCTCTCTAGGCCACCAATTCAGGGACACGCCTGACACATGCCTGGCCCCAGTAGCTCTGAAGAGAGATTCCACAACCCCTTTCTTGTATCCTTAAGTCAAGCCAGAACCACGTGGTCAAAGCTGCCAAGTTCTGCTGCTTGCTGGGACTGTAATATGGTCCCTCATTCAATTACATCTTTATCGGCTCTCTGTTTTTGATGGCTTTCTTCACTGCCTAAGCTGGGCTGGGCTAGGGTCTGTCTGCCTCTACCTCCAGAGAGCTGGGATCAAAATATGCACCACCACCACTCACATCCCTAGGCTTTTCTTTAATCTCTTTTCACAAGTTGGAAGCTTAGCTGGGTGGGATCTTGCCCTGGGATCACCATTCCTTTATTCATTTTAATATCAGGCTTTTCTTTAATCTGTTTATCTCACTTGTGCACAGGACTTAGCTCCATTACACTTCCTAGTGTCTCATTTCTCCTCAAATTGTACATTTTGTATTTTTCCTTTCTCAGTTTGCTCCTTTTCATTACAGATCTGCATAAGCAGTCAGTACTAGGCTGTTTTGAAATCTCCTCTGCTGATGCCATTAATCCAAACTTTTGGTCAAGGCAGAAAGCAGCCACATTCTTGGCCAAAATATCACAAGAACTGTGTCTAAGCCACATACAAATATTCTTCTCTGAACCTTTTGAGCTAGGCCATCATCATCTACATTGCTCTCAGCATGACTGCCTCCCATGCTCCTACCAGTGTAGCCCATTAAGCCCTGTTGTGTGATATTTTCTTTGTGTTCTGACAAATAAAACTTGCTTGGAGTCAGAGGGCAGAGCTAGCCACTAGTTAACCATAGAGGTCTGGAGGTCTGTACAGAGAGGAAACAGGAAGTGATAAGGTGGGGTATAGAGAGGATCTAGCCCCTTTTTGGTAAGGGGAACCAGAGAGGTAGGAAGCAACTGGCGGCTGCTCTCCTGCTTCTCTGATCTTTCAGGTTCTTACCTCAATATTTGAGTCCTGATTTTTATTTGATAAAGATTAATTAGGTTAACGCATCATCTGGCATCCAACTTTTGGGGCATGAATTCATGAAGTAGCCACCAGAGCTGTACGCACTGGAGTCACCACCCCACTGGCTAGGTTTTCTTTTTCTTCCAAAAGCCCTCTGAGTGAGTCTGGGATTTTTCTGTTGCAGCCTCTCTATAACAATCTCCACAGGCACTTGGGCTCCAAATGCCACGGAAGTTAGCCCATCACCACTGGCCAGCTCTGCCTTCAAGCAGCTCCTACCACACATGCTTCCTCCACATGATCCCCTGTGTGCATTTTTCAGACGTCCAGCTCCCTCTCCCTGTGGGTTGTGGGCTTCCCCTGGCCCCACTCCTTGGGCTGCTGCCATACTAGGTAGTTGCTCAGGCTTTTATTCTTGTTGTGACCATCACACACTCTCAGCTCACAGCTACACTCTAGCAGCTGCAGCTTTTCTTAGCCAGGCTGTGCACAGTGGTAGCCAGTCTCATACTTTATATCATCATCAGCAGATTTGGTGAG